TGAGTTTTTTGGGTTCATTGAGAACATGGTTGTTGTTCAATAATAAAATTATTCCTCAAAAATACAACTTGCCTAATAATTCTGCACTCCCTGTAAAAAAGATATCAGTTTTTCATTTCATGTTTTCTTTAGTTTTGTTAACTTTTATGTGCTTTAATCTACTGTAGTTTATCTTGTTTGTAATACTCTAAAACCTCAACGAAAATATGATCAATATATTGTTATAATCAATAACAAAAGCAATCAAATTTAAGCACAACTTGTCATTTAAAAGCTTACAGGTCCAATCGCTGCCTGTCAGAGCTTCTTTAGTATACTATATAACCAGTGCGGATGTTTTAAAATTGTCTAAAGTTACATTTCTTTTCATGATAAAGGTAAAAGCCACATGAGGATGTGTCTGTAACCAGAAGAAGAAAGTCCTGTCTGCATGAACAAAAACTTTGTCCAACCCAACCAGTCCATGTCTCTGGTTCTGAACCTTTTATTTTGTTAGGATTGTCTTATAAATGCTCCCAAAATGGGACAAAAACAAATATAGACGTACACTGCATGGACAAAAGTACGGGGCCACACCTTTTACTATTTGAATTCAGGTATTTTGAGTCCCATTGGCACAGGTGTCTAAAATCAATCACCTAGCCATGCACCCTGTCTTTATGATAACTGTAGAGCTCCAAATCTCCTCCAGCATTAACATCAGCACAAAACCTATGAGCTGGGAGCTTCATGGCTGAGCAACTCCTGTAGATTTAATGTGGAGATGGCCCAGCCCTTTTGCCCATATAGTATAAGCTTTGGGTCTGAAAAGTGATGCCAAAGCAGAAATACGAGAAACCTGCATTTTTTCCCCTAATGGTCAGCAGGGGGAAGCTTCTCTGGAAGCAAAGATCCATCCTTTTGTCTAGGAGTGCAGACCCTACCCACCACCTTATTCATGACCTCAGTAAAAAGTTCAACATGATGCTAATTTTGTCTTCACTTGTGAAAACTACATAATAAAGAAAGGTAAAGTTACTGTCTTATGGACCAAAAAAATCTCAACCTGAAGCTCCACAAATCAATAGATGAGATCCATGTTTTACATAAAGTGCTTGATTGCAACTAGCACTAGAATTTGGAAGCAGATTGACCAGGAAGATTTTTTTTTGTCTTCCTACATGAATCATCCCAACATTGAAAACGAACACAATCAGATGGTCTGTGTACATCTGCAGAATAAAGAGTGCAAGATGAAGTTAAAGCCCCAAAACAGATGTTTGCAAACAATTTGTCCTCAGCACCAGCAGAGAAAGTTCAGTTTTGCATTAATGCATAACTTTAAGCTCTACGTGTCAGATGTTTTCCAGTGTAGATCGTCACTGATGTTTTCTTTTAGTCTGGCACTAGGCTTAATCTAGGAATCCTCCAGTAAAAGTCTAGAGTTAAGATTAGAGTTAGGGTTTACTCATCTAAACAACAGACATTAGCTATAGGGGGTTAAACGGGGGTAAAAAAAAAAGAAAAGGGCTCACCACTGCGATCCGCAAGCCCTCCGTGAATCACCCGAGCTATAAAAATCTCTCCTGTGATCTCATTTCTTTTTATAGTTGCTCCCTGAGAAAGACGAAATGAAAAAACAGAATAAACAGTTGCTGCCAGGTCAGATAAATGAAGATAAAATGGACAGATGTGGCTCTGATGGATATGCAAGAATAGACTTGAAGGTTTAATTCAGGCCTAAATAACGTAATAGTGACACAAGCGAAGGGAAACTGGAGCTGATTTGCCACAGATGAAATGTAATGAAACAGACAAAAGAAACATGAACTACCACTGTTTGCAGGGTAGCCACGGTGCTCCTACAAAGGACCCAAAGAATGCCACTTTCTGGACAGCTCTCATGTCGCCTTCTTCCTCTTCTTTTTCTTCCGCTGGTTTGAGCGACCTCCTTTCAAGGGACTGAACTTCTCATCAAACAGGCCATTTGTAAGCTGATGTTTGGATGTTTCCAGATCAGTGTGGCTGTGCTTCTTCTGTGCCACAGGAGAGTTTTTTGATTTCACTGTGTCCCAGGGAGATCCACGACAAGACGGAGACTGGCAGCTGCCCAACTGGGAGGTGGAAGGAGGGTCCAAGTAGCTGCTGAGGGAGCTGGAGGAGGAGCTGAAGGAACATGGGGACTGGTCCCCTTGAGGCTTTTGAGTTGGGCTTTTCTTCAAAGTGCCTTCCTGCTCAGCAGCTTTAAGGGTGTTTACTTCAGATCTGGTGGCTGTGAGGAGTGTCTGCAACCGGTCCACAACCTGCGTGAGGAGGAGCAAAGCCTGCGAGTTGTCCTGCACTGTCACCGACATGTGCTCTGTGGCTGCTGCCATCCTCTCCCCAAGGAGCTTTATGTCTTTGGTGCTGCTTTCCATGGAGCTGGCGGCCAACTGTACAGTCGTCCTCAGCTCGTCCAGACTCTCCTGTTTGACGAGCTCCACGGGCGGCACCTCCAGTATGCGGTGAGGCCGCATGGGGCTGGGTGGGGCTGTTCGGATGCAAGGGCTTTTAGTTCTGAACCTTGGAGACAGGCCTGGCTGGAAGTAATCATGCATGCTGAGACATGGTGGAGTCATGGTCAAACGTTGGGGAAATGGTGATGGAGCACCAGTGGACTGTCCTACTTCGTACTCGTCTCCACTGTTGAGCTCGTCCACGTCTCCAATGAGAAAACAGACATTATTAATCCATGAGTGAATGGGATGGATGAATGGATGACGACAGTGCAATTAGAAGTGATGAAGAACCAGCTTGTTTTCCAAAAGCATCTTAGAGGTTGAAATAAAAGCAGTTCAAAGATGCACTCATTGGAAAACAAGGCCCAGATCTTTCCTTACCAATCAGGACTGAACTGCAGACTGAAGGTGCAGAGCGATTTGACCTTTGCTCCCACAACATGTTGGAGTAACAAACTCTGCACTGGCTCATCGGCGTGCTGCAGCACACCTGGCAGCCAGTCAAAGGCTTACATTGTGGTAACGGGTATGGTCGAGCCTCTGTCAGGTGATGCATTGGCTCGGTTGGCGGGTAGCTTCCTCTCCGGACTCTGCACCATGACGAATTATTTGCTTTTAGCATCCAACTCTGAGCTGAGGGATTCTGGACCCCGAACCCTGTCCCTCTGTGAAGCTTCTGTCGGGTCAAACGCCTCAAGGTGTTCAAGTGATGGCGGATCCCCCCTCTGGGGCTTTTTGCACAGGGAGGACAAGCATTGGGCAACAGCTTGCCAACTTTGTGGTGGTTGCAAAGCTGTGAGACAACAGAATCATGTTCCACTCGGATAAAGCAAGGTTTGAACTAGTAATCATTTGCATGCATTTAAGACATATAGAGACAGATGATAAATTAGCATCAGATGTCTCCTAACTGTCTTGTTTCCTTTCTATTCCAGTGGCTTTTGCTCTTCGAAATTTATCTGTAGCATCAACAGACAATTATACAAATGACAGATTATGAATCAAACATCTGCTCTCTGTCATCTGTTTGACTTATTTTGAGTTGGCCAAAAACCCAACATATTAAAATATTCAGGAGCATCTGCCTACATACACAGTCCTGAAAAAAAGTAACTCCTTCATGGTCCAGATTAAAGAGTCAGGTTTCCTGCTTCTCCACATGATTTTGGTTTTATATCCACTTCTGCATCCACCTAAAATACAATGAACTTTTTGTAAGTTCAAAAGTATGTGGATGCCTCTATTTAGGTCATGCACTGCACACAACAAACAAAGCAGCACTTTCAAAATGAAGCCAAAGCTTAAAGTGGTAACTGGAGCAAACCCCAAAGACTCCTATGTAAGTTATCCAGCATTAAATCAGAAATAAATATGTTTAAAATAAACTGTTTTGGACTCTATCCCTTCATAATAACAGTACACAAAAATAACTCTGCCCTCAGAACCTACTTGTGTTTGCTTTAGACACTAGCAGATTGCTGGAGTTGGCCATAGTTTGCATGGAAGACACCGACCATCATCCAGTGACGTATTTTGAAGATGAAGGGTCTCTGTTGCAAGTTTGTGCTGCACTCTTCACAGCCTGCAGCCAATTAGCAAGTATTTAGTGAATGTTTGTTAGCGTCTTCTATGCAACCTACAGCCAAAGCCAAAGCTATCAAAAGGGGGTTTAGGTGCAGCACCATGTTCCTATTTGCGACCAGTTTCTCCTAGACACAGCCAGAGACTTCCCCCTGGTTGGGGGACTGACTGGCCATAGTTACGTTGAATTAATATTTAATTTACATACTTTCTTCTTTGATTTGAAAACTGAAAGGTTTTGATTTTCCTCGTCCCAGTAAGCTTGTTAATTAAGGAGATAATAATAAATTAGATTCATACCTAACAAAATTTTTTTGCCTCATTAAAAGCTTGCTTAGTTCCTAAACAGCTGGTCTACTGATGTTCTACTCAGCTCAGAACCATCTGTACAAACCAGATTTCATTTGCCTGTTGAGGAGGTATTAGCTCAGGAATCTCACCAGTGGCTGTTTATTCTTCACCAGGCAGACGATCCGGGTGGCCTCCTCATCGTCCGGCAGGTCTTCTGGCATTGGGGGCAACACCGGCTCATAGTCCTTCAGAGCTATTGTATCATGAGCCGAAAGAAGGGCCTTGATGGAAAACAGACAAACCAGACTGAGACTAAGAACAGTAACCATTAACAGTAGCAAATAACAATAGAAAAGACACAGGTACATATGTAAGTCTAGTTACATTTAAATCATAGTTTCACTAATACTATAGTTCACTAATGAAATACAAAAAAGAAATGTTGGGAATTTTCAGTTGGATTCAATGTCATTTATATAGTGCCAAATCACAGCAACTGTTGCCTCAAAGTGCTTTGTACTTGTATTTTATTGGATATTGTAAGGTAAACACCCCACAATATCAGAGAGAAAAGCTCAACAATCAGATGACCCCCTTTGAGCAAGTACTTGGTGACAAGGGGAAGGAAAAAGTGAGGGATGGTTAACTGCCACTATGAGGTATTTAAGATAAAATGGGGCCTGATTATTCAAGACCTTGTATGTGATGAGAAGGATTTTAAATTTGATTCTGGAGGAACAAAGAGCCAAAGAAGAGAAGCTAATCTGAGACAAAATGTTCTCTCTTTTTTTTTTTAAAGTCCTTGTCAGTACTCTTCTTGCAGCATTTCGGATCAACTGAAGGCTTTTTCAGGGAAGTTTTAGAACAGCCTGATAAAAATCGAATGCAATAGTTTGGCCTAGAAGTAATATATGCATGAATGTGCAGAACCACATATTTGTTTGTAATGTGCATTGCCTGGTCAAAAACGACTCCAAGATTGCTCTCAGTGTTACTGAAGGCCAAGGTAATGTCATCTAGAGTCAGCATCTGGTTAGCCACCACATTTCTGGGATTTTCAGAGCCTAATAGAATAACCTCAGTTTTATCTGAATGTATAAGCAGGACATTAGAGATTATCCAAGCCTTTATATCTTTAACACATTTTTGCAGTTTAACTAATTGGTATATGTTATCTGGCTTCATGGACAGATAAAGATGGGCATCATCTGCATAGGAATGAAAATGTATGCTACACCTTCTAATGATACTGCCTAAGGGAAGCATGTATAATGTAAACAGAATTGGTCCTAGCACAGAACCCTGTGGAACTCCATAATTAACTTTAGTGTGTGAAGAGGACTCTCCATTTACATGAACAAATTGGAGTCTATTAGAGAGATATGATACAAACCACTGCAGTGCACTACCTGTAATACCTACAATGTGCTCTTAATCGCTGTAAGAGAATATTATTGTTGACAGTATCGAACACTGCATTGAGCAGGACAAGCACAGAGAACAATAACAATGACTATGATGTACTATGATGAGATCTTAATTCCCACTGCTTTGTAATCCATTATTGTAAATTTAAATTATTTAATTATTATTATTACAGATGATCAGACAAAGAGGGTTTTCAGGGCCACTAATAAATGCTCAGCTTCTATGCCATGTGTAAGATCCAGAATGTGATTAAAGTGGTGGGTGGGCTCTTTTCCATGTTAAGAGAAGGCATCTGAGTCTAATAATAGACTGAATTGAGGCTGTCATTTTCAGCATCTACATAAATGTTAAAATAAGCCATAATAATTATTTTATCTGAGCTGAGCACAAAATCAGATAAAAGTCAGATACCGTAGAAACTCTAAGTAAGGATCAGAATGATGATAAATAACAACAAATAAAACTTGTTTTTGAGTTTTCCAGCGGGATTACAAGGCTAATGAATGAAAGCTTGCTACTCCTCCTCCTTGGTCTGTGCTTCGAAGATTCTGACAGTATGACTCAGGGGTGTTGATTTATTTAAACCAACATAATCATCAATGACACTCTCCCTTTTTAATCAAAATATGCACTAAACATGAGTACATGAAAATTTAACTACAAAAAAATAGGATTTACGGATATGCCTGAGCTACAATGGGCCTTATAGGCCCTTAACCTCTTCTGTACTTCAACGTGAAACCAATAGTGGTTTATTAACCTGCAGGTGTGGCTGTCGCAGAAGATGGTACAGCTCTTTGGCCTCTTCAGAGCAACTTGGTAAGGACCTGATATCAATCAGCAACTATAAAGACAGAAACATTCAATATCTTAAAAAAAACAAAACCCAACCAAACAACATTTGGACATGATAACTACATTAAATTGTTTTGGAAGATGAACCTCAAGCGAGAGTCCCGAAGAGTAATCCAGAGCTGGTGCAGGAGAATCTCTTAGATATCTTTGCAAACACTCATAAACCTGAAAACAGTCAAGTAATAAAAAAAATATCAAAACTACAGTGAATGAGGAAACATCTGACCTTAGATACTCTGAGGGAGGCATGCAGTCCTGTGATAAACAAAGTACACCCGTATGATTCAGCAGCTTGTAGAACTACCCCTTGATCTCCCTGCAAAGCCTACTGACACATTTTACCGTCTCTTAACTAAAACAAAGGAAATTAGCAGAGGACATTTAGGCTTTGCATTTACTTTAGATTACATTACCTGCATTTTGTATTTTATGTTATTTGTATATAAATCTGTTGTAAGTCATCTTTCCTCATATAAGATAAGATATAAGATTTTGGTGCATGATCCAAAGTACAGGGTGGGCCATTTATATGGATACACCGTAATAACATGGGAATGGTTGGTGATATTAAAGTCCTGTTTGTGGCACATTAGTATATGTGAGGGGGCAAACTCCTCAAGAT